CCGCGGGCGACGTGTCCGTGTGCCCAGGACGTGCGTGCGCGCCCGCAAGTCCGGAACCCCGGGGCCCGGGCTGGGCTCCGCACTCGACGCCCGGCCACAAAGGGCGCGAGCGACGCCCCCTCCCCAGCTGCGCGTATTATTTGCGCGGGGAACATTGTCTGGAGTCCGCAGCCTCGCGAGGAGGGAGCTGCCCCGGCTTCCGGGGCTTCGGAGTCTGATCTACCCTTTGGGACAGCGAGGGGCGGGGCCTCCGTGCTGGGCGCCTGGAGGACCCCGGGACCGAGCAGAGAGCTCCGGGAGCAGCGGATGGTCCTTGTGCCTCGGGAAACACACAGCCTGGGAAATAGGGGAGTGAACGGGACCGCACGCCATTGATCAGGCGCGGGGATGGGCACATCCCGGGAAATATAGGCCGGTACCCAGCCGCAGGTGGCGGTCCTCTGCAGTCGTAGCACTGGGAGGCCGGGGCAGGAGGACTGCAAGTTCAAGCCCGGGCAACTTAGTGACTTAGCGAGAGCCTGTCCCCAAATTTAAAAAATGCTTTTACAGAAGTTGAGGCTGTAGTTCAGTGTAAAGTCCTGGCTGGTTTCAGTGCCCCAGTAGCTGGGGCAGGGGGCAAAGGGCTAAGGATAGCGCAGGTTTTGGGGGCCCTGGCCCAGCCCAGCTGGATAGGCTGAGAGGATGGGGCCCGGAAAGTGGCCTGGTTGGGTCTGAAAGGGGCCTGGGGCCTGTGGGTAGTCAGGCTGACAGGGGTGGGATGGGGGTGCAGAAGGCAGGGGCGGCGCCTGTGCTCCTAACGCCCTCCGCAGAGCAGGCAACTGCCCTATGCTAGCGGGGATCAGGGGGGCCCTTCCATAGCCTCCAGGATCCTCGCAGCCACAGCCGGGTGTCGCGCTCTGTGCCCTCCATGCCCTCCACGGAGGAGGGTGTCAGGGTCACCCAGGGGCCCAGCTCGCATCCGGCTCCCGGCAGTGGAAGTGGCTGCTGGGCTTTCACAGGAGGGGTCGTGGGTGACCCCAGCTTTTTGCTCAGTTTTTGATTAGTGACACATTCTTCCCCGAGGGCATGGTGGTGTTTTCCTGCTGTCTTCTCCATCCCTCAGGTCCCTCCCGAAAACCAGCAAAACCAGTGCAGACCAGCAGTGCCTCCCTTTCCCGAGGCTCTGGGCCGGTTGCCTGGGGCTGGAGGATCCTGGTGGAGCTGAGGGCCCAGGAGATCTTGGGGGAGGGGAGCTTTGAAGGCCACACCCACCTGACAGGCCAGGAACTTGGTCCTGGTGATCCAGGGGAGGGTGGAGGGTGGAGGACAAAGGGCATCAGAAGGCTTTCTGGAGGAGGGGTGGGGCCCTGACTAGGTTCCTGGGGACAAGATGCCGGTGGCCAGGCTAGGAGTCCAGGGCTCCAATAGAGGAGAGAGGCCAAGCCCACGCGGGCCAGTGCCCATGTCTTCTGTCCCTTTCTGTCCTGCCACTGGCTGGTCTCTGCTTGAGGGGGCCTAGGGGACTGGCTGACCTTCCCGCCCGCAGAGTCCAAGGGCCCAAGACTTTAGAAGAGAGCCCAAGGGCCGAAGGCTTCTTCCAACCTTGAGGAACCCACCTTCTTCCTCTGCTGGGCCAGCAGCGCTGTCTAGGAGGACTGCTTCTGGGGATCCAGCCGCTTCCTGGGACCCGGCCAGGACCTCATTGTGATCATTGATCTTTATCAAGGACAGAAGATGCCAGCTGGGTGGCAGTGAGCCCAGCCCCTCACAGGGAGCCAAGTGGGTGAAAGACTGGCGGGGGAGGGGTCAGGGTCAGTCATGAGGGGAGCCAAGGGGCTGGAGGGTGTCCTCCACCCTCCCCACAGACCACCTGCCACCTCCTCCTGTCCTGCCTGCCTCCGTCCCTCCCTCCCTCCTTCCTCTTCAGTGCTGGGGATTGAATTCCAAGGCCTTCACACTGAGCTACATCCCAGCCACTTGTCTGGTTATTTATGTATTTATTTAATTCTTTGAGACAGTCTAAGTCTCTAAGTCACCCCGGGTGGCTCCAGTTTACTATCCTCCCCCTCAGCCTGGGAGTGCTGGGATGCCAGGAAGCTCACTGGCCAGCGGGCGTCACACCCAAGGGCAGGGAGAGAGGACAGGTTGCAGATCAGGCCCTAGGGTGAGGAGGGGCCGCCTTTTCTGGGGTAAATGGTGCATAGCACAAGGACTTCCAAGCTGTTTCTCAAGCCTCTAAGTCCCACTGATGTGGAATTTCGTGAATGGGCTGCTCCTTGCCAACTGTAACTCAGCTTTCCAGGCCTGCAAGAGCCAGCAGAGAAAATCAGCTTATAAGGAGAAAAAGCAGATTTTGACGCAGTTTCCAAGGTCCAAGGCCGAGATCAGTGGCTGCGATCACCCAGGCACCCGTGGAAGGGGCCTTCGGGCCCTCCAAGGCCATGCCCCCAGGACCTGTGGCCTGCCCACTAGGCCCTGCCCTTTAAAGTACTAGCACCTCCCCACAGTGCGGAGCAGTACCAGGCCTGGGTCCCCAAAGAGAGCCCTCCCCTGGCGCCCGGTTTAGGTGTGCCAAAGGCCTCTGGGGTCCAGCACAGGGTCCAGGCCAGGCCGAGCCTCCTGCAGACAGTGGCTGTTGTCCCTGCACGTGACCTCAGCCTCTACCACAAGGCAGGAAATGGGATCTCCACCCCACCTTGGCCAGCGAGGACACACAGGATACAGCTCGGTCATCCAGCTGCCCATGGTACAAACCCCAAGTCCGAAGATGCCTGCTTTCCCAGGCCTCCCAGGCTCTCTCAAGAGGCTCCTGGCTGGGGCCTGCCCCGTCACCTCCACGCCATTCGAGGCCACTCTAGCTGGCTTATAAAAGGGCAAAGGGGCTGGGAGAGTGATGGCTTTGGTGGCGTTCCAGGAGCTGCAAGCTGCAATGGTGCTACCTGCGCCTGATCCACGCCGTCTATGCTGGAAACGGATGGGACAGGCGGCCAGGGCACAGTCCTTCCAGGGGAGCGCTTCAAGGTGCTGTTGTTCTTTATGTTTTCAGGATTTCCATTCATTAAAAAGTAATCATAACCAGGCACAGTGGTGCACGCCTATAACCCCAGCCCTGGGAGGCTGCGGCAGGACAATCCCTGGAAGTTCAAGGTTAGCCTGGTCCACAGAGTGAGTTCAAAGCCAGTCTGAAACTACATAGCAAGACCTTGTCTCAAAAAAAAAAAATAGTAATCAGCTTTTAACTTTATAATAGGGGACAACTTACTCTGGCCCCCCTCCTGTCCCTCTCTCGGACAGGAGCTTTCTTTCCCTTAATAAATATATTCTACTAAACAAACAAACAAAACCAACTTATAATAATTCATGAAGCTACTGCCACTTGCAGCACATATAAAGATGTACCTATTTACATACCCACGTGTAGACTTCTGTTACTATTCCTGCCCCGGTTTAGGGCCATAACTTCTGTCACCTTTTTCCCTACTGAATTACAATCTAATCCTCCTAACAAAAATTGACAGAACATGAATCATCTGTATTGGTGTTTTCTTTTGAAAAGGGCACTGGCAGGCAGGGGAGAATAGTAGAATAAGTGCTTGCCTGGCAAGCTCAAAGTCCTGAGTTCGATCCCTGGTATCACCAAAAAAGAAAACGAGAAAAGGGCACTGATGAAGCTGTCGTCCCTGGGCCCCCCAGTGCAGTGGGTGGCCCCACATGTCTGCCCATCAGCTCTGCCTCGTCTGCCCCAGGTGTGCCTGGCGCCCCAGGCCTCCCGTGCAAGCACAGCACCCCTTCCTGTCTGTGCCCCACACCGCACTGCCTCGCCAGTCGCAGGTCCCCATCTGCAGCCTCCTGAGCTCGGACTGGGTCTGGGGTCTCCTGGTAGTCGGCAGAAGTTCCTACTGAGCGGGAGGGATGGGGGAGCGCGGGGGGGGGGGGGGGGCCTCCGGAAGTGACTTGATAGCCCACCCTTGTGCAACCTGCCCCGTTTCCAGACAGAGCTGCAGCCACCTTCTCTTCCAAACTCCATCCAGCCTCCAGCATCTTCGTTCCCACCAGCGGTGCCGCTCATCTTCCTGGCCGTCAGTCTCAGAATCTGGGGGCTTCTGCCACTCGAGCCTCCCGCCCTGCGCAGGCCGTGTGCGGGGCAGATCCTCCCGCTGGCCTTAGCCTCTGCGTCCCCGAGACCCCCACGCTGCCTGGGCCCCTGGCCTGGCTGGTCAAGCAGGGATGGGGAAAGGGAGGAAGGCACAGACTGCAGAGCTTCCTGGGCTGAGGCACCGCTAGCCTGCCTGAGTCTTGGCTTCCACACCCAGAACCAAAGAGCAGAAACAGGACAGCACGCTTCAGAAGGCAGGACCCTATGTTCTCATCTCTGTGCCAAACCATGGTAGGAATCCTCTGCGCGGCTCAAGTCATGAAGCCAGATGTCTAGCCACTGTCCTCCTCGCTGGGATGCTGCAACTTGAAGGAGGAGAGGTTTATTTTGGCTTGGGTTTCTGTCCCTGGTCACTGCCAGGTCCCACAGAAGAAACCGCATGGCCAAGGGGCTGGCGGAGGAGAAAGGCTTGCTTCTCAGTGGCCAGGAGGCTGAGTGGGCAGGGAGATAAACCCTTCCAGGTCACCTCCCTTGCCGCCTGCTCCTCCAGGCACCCGGCCATGCTCTGGCCATAAATC